GGGGCGCTGTGGGTCAGAATGGACTCCATGGCAGTGGGTGTGGTTTGGGCTTTGCTTCTGTGAAGACTGACAGCCTTGGAAACCCTGTGGTGCAGTTCCACTCCGTCCACTAGGGGCGCTGTGAGTCAGAATGGACTGGACAGCAGTGTGACGTCTCATACAAAAGAAATCAGACAAGATGTGACCTTTTATGCCTGGTTTCTTGCCCACAGCATCATGCGTCCATGGTCAGACCACGTTGCAGCATGTATCAGAGCATCTCCTTTTTTTTCGGTCGAATTTTATCTCACTGAATTGACGTACCACATCGTACCCATTTGTCAGTTGCCATTTGAGTTGCTCCCACGTTTTGACTTTTATGAATAGTGCCACTGTAAACGTTCACGAGTGGCCTCAATTTCTGGAGCTGAACTCAAGTCTTAGTGAGCGGCTCCCCTGGAAAGTCCCGTGTCTTCTCTGGAACCGCGTCTGTCTCCTTCCTGCGTCACCCAGCCGCAGGGTCCTCAGAACCAACCCTCTTGCTTTTCGTTGTTCGGTCCACAGTCTTCCTGGAGACACATCATCCTACACGTGCCAGAGGCTTCTAGGTTTGGTCTCTGCTGCTCACCCCCTTCTTAGGTTCTCTGTGAAAGTTGTAGAAAGAGGCTACAACCACATCCCTTTACCCTGCTCCCACCCCGCTTCCTCAGTTCCTCTCACTGAGCATTTATTGAGCACCTACTATGTGCCATGAACTGGGGTCTCTGCAGTGAACAAAACGGACAAAGATATAAGATCACATTGGTGTTTACAGACAATCAACCAGGTGAATCTGAACTATAATAGAACATAAGGCAGTGTGGAAATGGTGATTCTGAGTAGCATTAGGGGAAGTTAGGAAAAATAGATGGAGACAATTAGACGGGGTGGTGGATGGGATGGGGATAGGGCTGGGTTCGTGTGACTAATTCGGGGAGCGAGCATTCCCAAGCTGGGTTTGGATAAGGAGCGTCAGCAAAGCGGCCAGCGTGGCAGGCACTGCAGGAAGAGGGCGGGAAGTGAGGTGTGAGATGCTGGAAGCAGCGATGTTGGGTCCTGTCTAACTTCAGGAGGGATAATGGAAATGCAGATGAGCCTAAGGATGACCCCTGTGAGGTGGGGGTCAGACGCACCTCCACCCTCCGACCATCTGACGGTTCTTTGCCTCCCACGGCTCTCAGCTTGCCTTCTGGGTTCGATAATCTGTGTCGCTGGCCAGACAGATCTCACTGACCATACTCAATGGTTAAGTGGTTTATTAAGGAAGTAACAGGGTCCACTTGGAATCGGGATCAACAGCTACCTCTTGGGATTGGGATCAGGAAGCATGTAGGCAAAGCGTCCCTTCTTCAGGGCAGGACAGCTCTCTCAGCGCCTCAGGACAGGCCCCTCTTTTGCTCTGCCCTCTCTCCCCACCGACTCTGCCCCGGCAGGGCCCCTGCTGGGCCTGGTACCCATCCTCAATATACGGTCCTTGGCGCATGTTCGTTTCCTTCAGGAGCTTCCTTACTTCCTCTTTCTCTGCTTCTGGCTTCCTGCTTCCTACCCTCTTAACAATCTCTGTGGGGTGGGTAACACGGAAACCCCTGGTCAATTTCAGGACAGGGCTCTACCACCAGGGCCAGGAACCAACCTAACCAATAACCTAGCTAATTCCCTCTCAGTGTGCCACAGACATTTCTATTGGATAACAGGTTATAGGTCCTTCATTTACATGGGCTCTTGACCCATCCCTGCGAGGTGTTTACCAATCCTGGTAGGTGGCAGCCCAGGGCCAGACAAAAAGTATCAAACCCCGTTGTTTACAGCTTGCCCAGGAAATGTCAGTCAACCTGGACAAAAGTAACTAACCCTCTGGGATAGAAAACTGGGGCAAAGGTAATTCCTCAGGGCTTAGAGGAAAAATCTCTCTCAAGCTGTTTTTCCAAAGAACCAAGGCAAAAGGCCATAAAGGACTCATTTTACTGCCAGGTCGTGTCGGGTGACGATTCTCAAATTGGATTGTGTATGCAAGTCCCCAGGGATCTTGTTACATGAAGATTACTGCTCAGTAGACTTCCTGGGAGCAACTAGGATCCTAGGTCTGTTATTTCTACCCATTGTGAGCAATGCTGCTGGTCCATGGACCACACTTTAAGTAGCAAGGAGCCTAGGGCTTTGTGGTGCCCTGAAAAGACTGGCTTTACCCTGAGAGAGTTAGAGCCCCTCGAGGGTCTGCTTCACACTGACAAGGGGTCACTCTGGCTCTTTGAAAGAGCTCCCAGATCTGGGAGTGGCCAGCATCTTGTCTTCTCATATCCCATTGGCTGGACCGTAGTCACATGACTATGCTTAGCTGCAAGGGAGCCTGGGTAAATGAAATGGGCATATCTCCTGCTTCTTCCTTGGTGATACTCTGAGGCCTCTTCCTGGCACTGCTGTTTCCCTTCTCCCTGGACCCTTCTTGGGTTTGCCCAAGGGTGTCCCTCACGGTCCTGCTGTTGGCTTTGTTGGTTTTCATTTCACACTTCAGGCCCCCACAGCCTCAGACTTAGTTCTTCCACCTGACTCCGCACCTGGTTCAAATACCCCCTCGTCCTGGTGTCCCCGTCTCAGGGGCAGCCACACAGTCCACGCAGTCACCAGGCCAGACCTCTGGGCCCTGCCCTTGTCCCTTTGACTTGCCACCGCATCCTACCAGCCCTCAGCTCGCCACTTCTACATTATGCCCAGGACAAACTCCTCCTCACCTTGTCCCCTTGACCCACCTCTGGTCCCCTCTGACTTCCTGTCCCCTCACCCAGCTCGGCCCAGGCCTAAGCCTTCCCTGTTTGGCCCACTCTCCCTGCTTCCACTCATTGCCCTGCAGCCTGTCCACTCCGTGCCCTCAGAGCTGTCTTTTTTCCCTTTTCACTCTGCCCCTCCCCTGCTTACAGACCTCTCATGGCTCCCCAGTACCCACCCCGACCCCCAGTAAAAATTGTCCAGTGCTGTTAGTCATCCCTTCACCACCTTATTCAGCCCCTTCATCTCCCTCACTTTTTTTTTTTTAATTGAGATGAAACTCACATGAAATAAAATGAACCGTTTTTAAAGAGTATGATTTACTGCCATTTAGTATATGCACAGGAGCTCTGGTAGCATAGTGGCTAAAGCACTTGACTGCTAACCAGAACCGCCAGCCTTCTGGCGGTTCAAACCCACCAGCCACTCCTTGGAAGGAAGGTTGGGCAATCCTACTTCCGTAGTGATACTGCCTCGGAAACCCAAGGAGGGGTCGCTATGAGTTGGGGCCGACTCGACGGCACATAACAACAACAACAACAGTATATGCACAGTGTTGTGTAACCATCACCTCTAACATTGCAAAACGTGTCTGTCACCCTGAAAGGAAACCCTGAACCCATTAGTACTTCATTCCCCTTTTGGAATGGAATTCCCCATTCTTCCCAACCTCCACCCGTTGGCCGCCTCTAATCTATCTCGTCTTCCTGGATTTGCCTTTTCTGAGCATTTTACATGCATGGACTCAGACAAGACGGGGCCTTTCAGACAGCACAGTGCTTCCAGGGTTCACACCCATTGTAGTGCGTATCAGGCCTTCATCTTTAGGACCAAGTAAGGTTCTACTATATGGACATGCCACATTGCCATTCATCCATTTGGCCCTTGATGGATGTTTGCCTTGTTTCTGCCGCTTGGCTCTTGTCTTGCTATGAAAAAGGAAATGTAAGGATTTTTGCAGCAACTGCGTTCAGCTCTCGTGAGCATACAGTAGTCCCTTCTTAATCCGTGGCTTCGGTTTCGCTTTCTGCTTAGTTACCCAGAGTCAAGGGCAACAGGCAGTCTGAAAAATGCGAAATGAGTAGCCTTGAAATTTCGCACCCTCCCTGCCACGGATCATCCATTTGTCTACTGTGACCACTCTATCGCTACCTGCTTCTAAGTTGTTTATCCCTCACTGTGCCTAACTTATAAATTAAAGCTTATCACACATATATGTATAGGACTGAACATACTATATATGAAACTAGAAAAACCAAATGCGTTGGCCTTGGAGTCAATTTCAACAGAAAAGAGTAGTTTCTAATGCTGTCAATCTTTATGGAAGCAAAGCCCAAACCAAACCCACTGCCTGGAGTCAATTCTGATTCACAGCGCCCCTAGAGGACAGAGTGGAACTGCCTCATAAGGTGTACAAAGCTGTCAGTCTTTATGGAAGCAAAGCCCAACCCAAACCCACTGCCATGGAGTCGATTCTGACTCAACAACGTCCTTGTTAGAGTAGAGCGGAACTGCTCCACAGAAATTCCAAGGATACGTGTGATGTTTGTGGACGCAAACTGCCACGTCATTCTCTTTCGGAGCAGCTGGTAGGTTTGAACCGCTGAGCTTCGGGTTAGCAGCGAAGCACTTAACCACTGTGCCACCAGGGCTCCTTATAAGGTATGTAGGATCTGATATTATGTGGAGTTTCAGGCACCCGCTGGGATCTTGGGACATTCTCTCCGCAGATAAGGGGAGACTACTATATACCTAAGAGCAGAATTGCTGGGCCCTGTGGCAACCTCCAGGAACTCTGATGGCACAATGGTTAAGAATTCATCTGCTAACCTAAAGGTCAGCAGTTTGAGCCTACCAACTGCTCCTTGGGAGACAGATGAAGCAGTCAGCTTTTGTAAAGATGGAAGGTCTTGGAAACCCTGTGGGGCAGTTCCACTCTGTCCTCTAGGGGCGCTGTGAATAGGGATCGACTCCACAGCAGTGGGTTTGATTTGGGCTTTGCTTCTGTAAAGATTGACAGCCTTGGAGACCCTGTGGTGCAGTTCCACTCTGTCCTCTAGGGGTGCTGTGAGTCAGAATAGACTCCATGACAGTGGGTGTGGTTTGGGCTTTGCTTCTGTAAAGATTGACAGCCTTGCAAGCCCTGTGGTGCAGTTCCACTCTGTCCTCTAGGGGCGCTGTGGGCCAGCATGAACTCCATTGCAGTGGGTTTGTTTTTGGTTATGGTAGCCTCCCCACTGTAGCCCTTTACAAGTTCTGAACTCTGACTTACTCCTGTTTTGCTCCTACTTAGACTTCATCAGCCCCACCTTGAACTCATCAAGCCCTTTGAAACATCTAATTCTTTGACCCAGAACGTTATTTTCTATCACTCAAGACTCAGCTCTTGCCCCACCGTGCACAAGCCTCCCCTGCCTTCCCTACCAAGTTCAAGGCCTGGGGGCACCTCACCAGGCCTATGTTCTGCCATCGTAGCACATCTCACTGGTGCTTGCCTATTCCTTTGGTGTGCCCCCACCCCCATGTTGGCCCTCCCTAAGACAGGGATGTCTCTTCTGGTCCCTGGTGCTTGGAACAGTGTCGGTCACTCAGAGACACCCTGAGTAACGGAGGCCATGGCCTTGTTTCCCCTAGAACGGGCGGTCCCTGGGCGTCTGCTGAAGACACGGGCCATGCGGGAAATGTACCGGAGCTACGTGGAGATGCTGGTCAGCACAGCACTTGACCCGGACATGATCCAGGCTCTGGAGGACACGCACGGTGAGCCAGGGGCTGTGGCCCAGACTTCTGGGTCCGAAGGGGTAAGGCCTGGGGGCCCAGATGCCCGAGTCTGACAGAGGAGGACACTGTATGCCTGGACTCTTGGGCCTGAGGGGAGGAGGGTTTGGGGGCCAGGACTCTTGGGTCTGAGGGAGGAGTGGAGCAGAGGCCTGGACTCCTGAGTCTGATGGGGATGTTGGGGGCCTGGACTCCTGAGTCTGAGAAAGGAGGAGGTTGGATGCCTGGAGTCCTGGGTCTGAGGGGAAGAAGCGGCGGGGGGCCAGACTCCTGGGTCTGAGGGCAAAGCTCCCGACACCCCCTTGTGGAGCTGGGGCTCCCCTGACCCTCCTCGTCTTCCAGATGAGTTGTACCTCCCACCCATGCGGAAGATTGACGGTCTCCTGAACGAGCACAAAAAGAAAGTCCTGAAGCGGCTGTCGCTGAGCCCAGCCCTACAGGTGCCGGGGGCCTGGGCTGGAGCTTCTGGGGCCTAGGGTCTAGGCCCTGAGGGGCATCCTTGGACGGGGTGGATTTGGCCGAGAGAGAAGTGGAGGGCTGGGCTGTTGGGAGGGCCCAGGTGGAGGAGCTGTTGGTCTGTGGACGGCCTAGAGCGGTCGTGGGGATGCTGCTTCGGGGAAGGCCATCGCTTAGAGAGTGGAACTGAATGAGAGGGCCCAGGGTTGGGGACAAAAGGTTGTATGTAAGTGGACTGGGCTGCCCGAGGCTCTGGGACAGAAGGCTGAGCCCATTCTGATGGCTTCTCCGTCAATGTCACACTCACTTTGGCACGTCCACAATTCACTGTCATGTTCTTTCCATACTTTCGCATGTGAAATGTTTAGGGCCTCAGCCAAGGGCTTTGGAATTTCAGAAAATTAGTGGGCTCTGAGGATTGAGCATTCTGCCTGGGAGGTTAATTTCGCCTGGGAGAGTTCTGGGTAGACTATGAGTCTGATGAGAATTCTGGGAAGGGTACTAGTCTGGCATAGAAAATGTGGGTGGGATGTTAGGCGGTGGCTAAGAATTCTGGGACAGAATCTTGGGCTGATACTGAAAATGTGGGGTGGGCTGTTCATCTAGCCCTGAAAATTCTGGAGTGAATGTGAGTTGCTCTGAGGATTCTGGGATAGACTGTGGGTGGCCCTGAGGATTCTGGGATAGACTGTGGGTGGCCCTGAGGATTCTGGGATAGATTGTGGGTGGCCCTGAGGATTCTGGGATAGATTGTGGGTGGCCCTGAGGATTCTGGGATAGATTGTGGGTGTCCCTGAGGATTCTGGGATGAAGGATGTCAGGGGTTCTGAAGATTCTGGGAGGATGTTCCTCTAGTTCTGAGAATTCAGGGGTAGAATGCAGAGCTCTGGAAATTCTGGAGGGTGTTAACTAATTCTGAGATTGTTGGGCTGGCCTTGAGAATATGGGAAGGAATGGACTGATACATTTCTGAGCTAGAATGTTCAATGGCTCTGAGAATTCTGGGTGAGATGTTACAGTAGGAAGGGGTGTTCTGGGTGGAAGGTTAAGGTGGCTCTCAGAATTCTGGAATGGGATCTTAGGCTGCCTATGAGAATTTCAGAGAGGATGTTAGTCTGTTTGGAACTCTCCTTGGGTTATTAGTTTGGGAAAAATGTCGGTAGGATGTGATGTTGAGTCTGAGAATCTGTGTCTCAGTTCTGGGTGGACCATTGGGTGTCTGAGGATCCTGGGATAAATGGTTGGGCTAGCACTGAGAGTTCTGGGTGGGACGCTAGGTGTCTTTAAGAATTCTGGGATGGATCAAGGACAGTCACAAAATCCTGATCTGGACCAGAAAACACCAGACCGGGCCTAAGAAGCACTGAGACTCCTGGCTGTCTGGCCCTGCAGCCTGGGGGAAACGGAGGCCCTTGACGAGGGATTGAGGATCTGGGAGGTGGGTCCAGGCAGGGGACCCACTGATCCCGTCGGCTTCCCACAGGATGCCCTGCACACGTTCCCACAACTGCAAGTGGAACAGAGTGGGGAGGGGTCCCCCGAGGACGGGGCCGTGCGGCTGCGGCCGGCCGGGGAACCTTACAACCGGAAAACGCTGAGCAAGCTGAAGAGGAGTGTGGTCCGAGCCCAGGTGGGCGCTGGAAGGGGGCTGTGGCAGGCGGGCAGGGCCACGTGGCAGGCTGCCCAGCCCCGACAAGGAAACTGAACCATCTCTATTCCACCTGCCCAGGAGTTCAAAGTGGAGCTGGAGAAGTCAGGATACTACACGCTCTACCATTCACTCCACCACTATAAGTACCACACCTTTCTCCGCTGCCGGGACCAGGTGAGTTCCCCTAGGAAGTCCCGGAACTTGCTCCTCAGTAACTCCTCCCCTGCCCGGAAGTTCACACCTGGCCCCTCCTTCTTGGGCTCGGAAGTCTACCCCAGCCCCGCCTCCTCAGGGTCGGAACTCCAGCTCCTCCTCCTCGGCCAGGAAGTCAGCCCTGGCCCCGCCTCCTCAGGACCGGAAGTGCTGACTGCTTCTCAGGGCCGGAAGTCCTGACCATCTCCTGCATCTGTATCAATGTCCCAGCACCTCTTATGTCTCCCTGCAGACATTGGCCATCGAGGGCGGCGCTGAGGACCTGGGCCAGGAGGAGGTGGTACAGCAATGCATGCGGAACCAGCCCTGGCTGGAGCAGCTTTTCGACTCCTTCAGCGACCTGCTGGCCCAAGCACAGGCCCACAGCCGCTGTGGGTGACCCCCCCGCCCGCCGGAGCACCTCCTCCAGGAACCAAGAACTGGGACAGAACCCCGGACCCCGTCACCGGGCGAGGGGGAGTCATTGGTCAGGCAGGGTGTGTCCATGCTGCCCTCCCAGGGCAGGGTTCAGAGGTCGACTCCCCCCTCCCCCAAGCCCTCTCCACTCCCTCCCCGCCCTCCCCGCTGTTCGGTGTACAGAGAAATTATTTATATATATGTATAAATGTCTATTTAGTAACGGTTTCCCTCCCCCCCTTGCCCCACTCCGCCCTCCACGGCCATAGCCCCGCCCCTCCACCTTGTACATAATGTATAGGAAAAGTCTATGTATGGTTGAGGGGGGAGGGGTGGCTTCCGAGAGCTGGGGGACCCCCTCCCCCCAAGCCCCCCCTACAGGCCAAGATCTTTGCTAAAGGCCATTCCCTGCCCAGGGCATTCGGTGTCGGGTGGAAGTGGGAAGGGGAACAAGAAGAAGAAGAAGAAAAAACGCATCTTGTTAATTATTTTTAATCTTATTTATTGTACATACCTTGGGGCGTGGGGAGGGGTGCTGGGGAGGTGGAGGGGGTGACGGGTCCCCTCCCTCTGCCCTACCCCACTCCTTTTCTACAGCGAATTGTCTGTGTCTGTACCCCACCCCACCCCCCACTGTTCCCATCCCATTGTTGTCTGGGTGTGGTTCTATTTTTTAATTGGTCTCCTTTCCCCTTCACCCTCTCTGACCCCCCACCACCACCACAACCACCACCCTGACCTCCCCACCACCCTTTGTCTCTTCTCGCTCTTTCTTGGGCTTCTGTACAACTCAACTTGTATACACTGTGTACACACAACCAGCCAAACGAAAATCCAACGGCAAACACTTTATTGGCGGTCTGTCGTGTCTCTGTCCTGCGTCGTATGGGTGGGCCTGGCCATGGTAAGTGGCACGTGGGCTGGGGCAAGGGTTTTCTCGAGCCTTGGGACGTGGTTGGGGTTGGTGTATTAGGTATTGATGCGTAACCAATTACTGCCCTCCAAAATTTAGTGGCTTCAGCCATTTGTTACCTAAGTTCCTGAGGATCAGAAATTTGGAGGTGACTTAGCTCAGTGATTCTAGCTCACGGTCTGTCTTGAGGGTGCAGTCAAGATGTCGATTGGGGCTGCAGCCATCTGAGGGTTTGACTGGCTGGAGGAGCCGCTTCAGGTGGTTCATTCACATGGCTGTTGGTTGGAGGCCTCAGTTTCTCACCACGTGGGTCTCTCTAGTGCTGCTTGAGCATCCTCACAACATGGCCACTGGCTTCCCCAAGAACAAGTGATCAAGAGAGAGAGCAAGGAGGGTGGCAAGTCACTAAATTACACACACACTCAAGGGGAGGACAGTTAACCTCCACGCCATGAAGGCAAGAGTATCAGACTGTATTTTTAAACCTCTAAGGCAGTTGGCATGTCAGGAGCTGCCTAGCTTTTTCTTGGCTCCCTACTATAGAGTTAAGGGTGGCCCTTTGTGTCTTTGAACCCTAGAACTACAGGGCCACAAGTGGGCTAGCAGTATTCTAGACCCTGTAGAGTTCAGGGTGGCTTCTTTTATTCTTGAGTTTTGGTACTGAGGCGTGTGGGCTGTGGACCAGCAGCCTTGGCATGACCTAAGAGCTTACAGAAATGTGGACCCTGAGCCCACTTCGCAGATCTACCAAATCCACTTGTTAATAACATCTTGAGAAGGTTCTGATGAACGTTCAAGTTTAAGGAGCTGTGTTCTAGAACAAGGGTGTTAAAATTGTGAAGTCTGATTGGCTGCACTCCAGAGCTATTCGTGAATAGGCGACTGGTGTTCTAGTGCCCTGGTGCCAGCCTTGAAGATGGATGGTCGGTAGGTAGAGAGACCCATTGTGAGACCCATGGTGAGATTTGAGGGTGAATCGTTACTGTTGTCGATTCCCCTCCATATGAAGTTCCGGAGGAACTCGTTGCAAATCATTCACCGTCTAGTTGATGCCATCATGGTGACTCAGTGTACATTGGAGCTGAACTGTGCTCCAAGGGCTTTCTTTTTTAGTAATTGTTGACATTGTGTGCAACACAACATACACCATGTCAACAATTGCAGCACATACAATCCAATGTCATTGATTGCATCGAGTTCTGCAACCGTTTTCACCCTTTTCCGAGCTGTCGCCCACTCACATAAACTCATTGCTCCGAGACTCCTATCTGTTGAATCGTCAGCTTGCTTCCACAAAGATAGTTCTTTCAAAGAGCACAGTGTTTGAAGCAGACATGCCTTACTAGTTAGGCTAAACTATTGTTTGGTTCTGAGAAGACCTCAGGAGGTGTTTCAGGGGCTAGTTGTTTCAGAAGTCAGTTGACAGCCTTTCTTTTGGGATGCCTTTGGTGGACTAGAACTTCTAGCCTTTCAGTTCCCAGCTGAGAACACTTCCAACCATTGGTATCTTAGGGACCATCATCCATGATCTACATTTCTAGGACCTTGGTTTTAGAGACTAAAGACGAGAGTAGCGTTCAAAAACCATAATGGTTGAGTCAAAGATGGACTATTGCCTTTCTAAAATTGGACAGTAACACAATTAAGGATGGACCACTACCATCCTTGAACCAGGCCCTGTAGCACAAAGGAGTGCCGTCTTTGATAAGTAGCACATTGGAGGCTTCAGGCTGGGTTGTCAAATTGAGGTCAAAGGATTCAAGATTGGGGTGCTCCCAGGTTAGAGCTCTGGAGTAGAAAGTAGGTGGTGTATTTGGAGGGTGGGTGGTGGGGCCAGATCATGCCTGTGGGAACAGAATAACCTTGTGATTACACTTTGTACTCAAACTACCCAAGATTGAATCCCGGCTGCAGCACTTAACCAACCAAGGTGGCCAATAGCCTTGGTCCTCAGCTATGTCATCTGTAAAATGGACTTTGGTCAAAAGTGAAGGAAGATGATGTGTTTGAAGCACTCAGGCTGGGTACACAGCTTCTGTTACCCAGAGCACAAGACCCTGAGAGGCTTAGCAGAGGACCAAGACCTGGCAAGAAAGAGATCCCAAAAAACAGAATTTAGAATCATAGGACTGGGCAGGAACCACACAGACACAGTACAAACGAGTGTCCCAGGGAGATGGCAACCAGACTGGCCCCACCTCTTTGCATTGTCCAAGGAGTTCTGGAATGGTGGCCAGGAACCTTCCAAAAATGGCCTGCCAGTTGTCATATGAGTTTGTATGGGTGGGTGCCTTTCTCTGGAATAAGAATAACTGAACACCTTCTCAGAAGTCGGGCCTCCAAGGAGTGGGTGGTCCAAGCCAAGAACTTGGCCTCGTGAGGGAAAGACTCAGCCCCTCTACCAGAGGAGTGTTGATGGTGGGACTCGGTGGGAGAGAAGTTGGCACAGGCCAACTTGTGGAACGTTCTGGAACGACACTCCAATAGAGCTTTCTGCGATGATGGAAATGTTCTATATTTGCCCTGTCCACAAGGATGGCCACAATTCAGTTTTATTTTATATACGTAATTTGAATGGAAATAGCCAATGACTACCACATCATGCAATGCAATTCTAGAACATTCCCCCCCAAAAAAAAAAAAAAATTTTTTTTTTTCCTTCATTTCAGATGTTAAACTTTATCCTAAATAAATGTCTCACATCAAAATAGAAAAAGGGTGGAATTGACCTTCTGGAAGGAAAAGCGGGGATCCAGTTCCCCACTTTCATCCTCTCCCTCTCCCCATCCCCCCCCCCCCCCCCGGACCGGACGCCTGGTTTGGGTTATTCCTGTGCCAGCACTTTACCCCTGGCTGGGGCTTTGCCGCTGGATGTGTTGTGTCTTGTTCCAGAAACTGATAAAAACGCCTCCCCTCCCTCCCCCCATACACACTGTCAGGCAGGGCTAGGCCCTTGGGGTGCTGGGGTTCTTGGAAGAATGGACATGTGGCACAATACATTGGAGTTGAGTTTATTCCCAGGGCGGAAGGTTGAACCCAGGCCAAGATTCAGGGAGAATGAAACCCGGAAAGGGATACTGAGCTTACCAGTGTTCTACTGGGAAACAGAGGGACATTCATGGTTCTGGGGCGGGGGAGCAGTGGGGCCATCATCACTGATACCAGAGTGCCAGGTTCTGTGTTTGTTCCTTGTATATATACTACTGTCTCCTTTAGCTTTGCACCGGGCATGAAGTGGGCTGTTATTGCCCCGTTTCACAGATGAGATGAAGAGGGCAGAGTAGGATTTGAACTCTGGCACCCTGGCTCCATGAGGCAGTTGAAATCCCTTCTGTGCAAAAGACCCTTGTTCGATTCCCACCCAGTGTGCTTCATGCCACTGCCCGTCGGGTCAGTGGAGGTCTTCATGTTGCTCTGATGCTGAACAGGTTGCAGCGGAGCTTCCAGACTGAGATAGACTAGGAAGAAAAACCTGGTGATCAGGTTCCCAAAAATCAGCCAATAAAACCCCCTGGATACAGTGGACCGAGCAGCGGTTGGTTCCACTGTATATGGGGTTGTTGTGAGTCAGGGGCTGGCTCAACCCCGGCTAACCCCAACCTGGTTCCAGTGTCCACGCAGGTCCATCTCTACAGAAGCAGGTTCTGGGGGGAGTGTTGCAGGGAGCGTTTACAGATGAGAACCAGAAGATCTGGTGACATTGGCAAACATGGGGGTGGGCAGAGCACATCCTTAACTGGTGACAGATGACAGAGACCAAGTCCCGGTGCATGTGGACATCTGGGTGAGCTCTCTGGCCTGGTGGGTTGAGTGGATGTTGGTGTTCAGTCATGGTCTGTTACGTGGGCTTGGGAGGTGGGTGGGTGACTGGTACTCAGCCCCTCAGGCTCCAGCTGTCCAGGCTAGCAAGTAAGATTGCAGAATTGGGGGTCCTGGGTTGGACGTGGGCGAGTCTCAATGTCCCCAGTACACCCCTGAGTTTTGGGGTTCCAGACTGAGATGGGTTATCAACCCACTTGCCAAAGCGTCAAGGCTCCCTACGTTTGTCCTCCTCCCAGGAGAGAGACTCAGAGGGGTGTGTCCACACAAGGCTCAAGCTGGATTCAGGGCTCAGACACTCGCGTCAATCCCGTTGGGAACTTTCTGGAACTGAGAACTCGCCAGCTGGCTCCTTGAACACCATTCTGCCCACCTACCCTTTCTCCTTTCTCCAGCCAAGAAGCTTTTCTCATTGGGAATGTAGTGGAAGTGGGCGGGCAGGGTTTGCAACACTTGTTGCCTGTCTCCAAGATCCTGGAAACTTCTAGAAAAGCACTGTCCAATAAAACATTCTGCGATGTTGGAAATGTTCGGTATTTACTCTGGTAGGGTGTGCACTGGCCACCCTAGCAAGATTCAGTTTTATATTTTTTAATTGAAACAGCCACATGGAGCTTCTGGCTACCGTAAGGACCCCTGATGGTACAAGTTAAGTGCTTGGTTGCCAATTGAAAGGCTGGCAGTTCAAACCCATCTACTGTGGGGAAAAAAAACCCTGGTGATCTGCTCCTGGAGAGATAATAGCCAAGGATACCCTATGAGGAAGTGGAAAGAGAGCTGGTGCATTGTGGGAGATTGCAGTCAATGTCACAAGACAAAATGTTTATGAGCTGCTGTACGGAAGATGGATTTGCTCTGTAAACTTTCACCCAAATCACAATAATAATAATAATAAAGTCTAGATGCAACAATGGGTCTCTCCTCGTCCAGAGCAAAGAAGAATGAAGAAAACCAAAGATTCACGGAAACAATTAGTCTTCGTGACTGGTACACCATGTGATCCGCAGCCTATACGACTATGAGACCAGAAGAACTAGATGGTGCCCGGCTACCACTGTCAATCACTCGGAGGGGGATCTATGGAGGAGATCCTGGATAAAGACGGAGAACAATGTGGAACAAAACTCAAAGTCATTTGGGGGGAAAAAAAGGGGAGAACACCAAGTTTGTGGTCTGATAGAGCCCGGTGGAACCCGAGACTATGGCCCCTAGCTGCCCTTCAGGTCTGGAATTGAACCCACATCTGTGGCTTCCAGCCAAACAAAAGACAGGCATATGAATTGAACATGTACCTGAGGTAGATACTCTCCTTGGAGAGAACAATCATGGGAGAAAGAAGGTCAGTGTCTGCACAGGGAGACAGCTCGGGGGGCAGGAGTGCATGGAGGGATGGACACAGGGAAGCGGTAACTATGGGGAGGAAGTGGGCGGGGAGCTGCTGCATTGTGGGAAATTGCAGTCAATGTCATGAGACAAAGTGTGTGTGAGCTGCTGTATGGAAAGTGAATTTGCTCTGTAAATCTTCACCCAAATCACAATTAAGAAAAGAAAACCCTATCCGGTTGTTCTCTCTGTGATATGGAGTTGCTCTGAGTTGATTCAATTGCACACAACAGAGTCTGACAACCTTATTGGGTGATATAAAGTTCTAGAACTTCCCAGAAGAATAAATAAGGAATAACCTTTACCCCTTTTGAAGGGGAAGTGGGAGTCCCATCGCCCACCCCGCCTCTGGGCCAGATACGAGGCTTGGCCTCCTATTCTTTATACTCCCTGCTCGTCCCCAAACACAGGATCCAATCGCTCTAAACGTCAGTGTGTGTGCACCCCGTATTCACCCACCGTCCTCTGAGCCCTCTCCCCATTTATAACACACCCCCTGATGTTGGCAGTGATGTTTATTTCTCCGGGGGAGGGGAGTTATATACAGCGGTGACCCGGATACCCGGGAGCCCCTCGGCCCCACCAGGAGCTCAGGTGGGGAGAGGCAGCGTTGGCAGAAGGCACACAGTGACAGCAGCCTGAGGTGCTGGGAAGTGGGGCTGGGGTGTGTAGTGTGGCTTGGGAGACCCAGGGAGGGAAACTGAGGCTCATCAAGGTGCAAGGGCAGCTGGTCCCGAGAGCTCATGTTGGCACTTCTCCCGCGCCTGGGTTACAGGAGGACGCAGGGGCACCCCCCATCCTTCTTGCGGGGCGCGCTGGGGGGGCTGGGGGGCAGCTCCTGCTCTTGGTATCTCCTGTCGGGAGGAAGAAGCCGGTGAGCTTGGGCCAAGATGGCTGGAGACGAGGGTAACAGGAAAGGGGCTCAGCTCACCGGACTGCCCGCACCAACTGCTCGAAGGCCTCATCCACGTTAAGGCGCAGTTTGGCCGAGGCCTCGAAGTAAGCCACGTGGTGGGAGGCCCCGAAGGCAGAGGCTTCGGATCGGGGGACCTGGGGGAGACACAGGACGGACTCAGGGCGCTCCCAGCCCCTGAAGAGTGAGGACACTGTGTGCACTAACGGGGGGTTCCATGCCACCACCCCTATACTGAGAAAGGACAAGGGGACAGAATGGTGTCCAAGTAGCCGCCTGGTGAGTTCTCAGTTCAGAAAGTTCCCAGTGGGGCTCATGTTGGAGTTTCTGTTCTTGTTGTTAGGTGCCGTCGAATCAGACCCGACTCATAGCGACCCTTCCTTGGTTTTCCGAGGCGGTTATCTCTACAGAAGTAGATTGCCCAACCTTCCTATCGAGGAGTGGCTGGTGGGTTTGAACCGCCAGCCTTCTGGTTAGCAGTCAAGTGCCTTAGGCACTACGCCACCAGAGCTCCTACCTTCACAGAAGCAAAGCCCAAACCAAACCCAGTGCCTGGAGGGGATTCTGACCCACAGCGCCCCTAGAGGACAGAGTGGAACTGCACCACAGGGTCTCCAAGGCTGTCAGTCTTTATGGGAGCAAAGCCCAAACCACACCCACTGGAAGCAAAGCCCAAACCAAAGTCACTGCCATTGACTTGACTTGACTCATAGCGACCCCTCCTTGGGTTTCTGAGGCGGTATCACTACGGAAGTAGATTGCCCAACCTTCCTTCTGAGGAGTGGCTGGTGGGTTTGAACCGCCAGTCTTCTGGTTAGCGGTCAAGTCCCTTAGTCACTGTACTACCAAAGCTCCTGGGAGTTTCTGTAGTTTTACGCAAATAACACCTACGTTGTACATTTTTTTTTTTTCCCAACCGGCACTGCCCCCACCCCCGTACTTCTCTAATCATGTTATTACTTTTTTTTTACATGTTGCTGCAAAACAGTTTAAACCCAGAATGCAATTTATTATGTGAGTGGACACACGCCCTCTGAGCACCTCTCTCAGCACCTAAGCACACGAGGCATTGTGGGTGATCCAAGAAAGTGTTCCAGAGACGGCATGGGGGAGACTGCCAGGGGTCTAAGGAGTTGGGAGAGGCTTCGTAGACGTCTGCCCTATGGAGAGGGTTAGATAACCAGGAGTTTGCAGGCAAAGGAGGAGAAGAAAGGGTGTTCCAGGCAGACGAGACAACCTTGGCAAAGGCGTGGAGGCTAGAAATTGCTCAAGACCATCTACAACATGTCTTCCATGTGGCAGTTACAGAGCACAGGGTGGAAGATTAGTTGCTGAGTCAATTCCAACCCCGTGTGCATCAGAGCAGAGCAGCGCTCCTGAAGGTTTCCAATGGCTGATGTTTTTACCTTCTGGCGAGGCCCGAGTGGATTTGAACCTCCAGCCTTTTGGTTTGCCACGGATTGAACTGTGTTACCCCAAATGTGTGTGGTAAATCCTAACCCTTATAGGAGGGCGTCTAGTGGTGCAGTGAGTGGTTAAGCACTCAGACGCTAACTGAAAGTTTGGCGGTTCAAACCCAGCAGCCACTTTGTGGGAGAAAGATGCGGCCACCTGCTTCTGTAAAGATTGTTGTTAGTTACCATCAGCAACTCATGTCTAACAGAAGAAGGAAACATTGCCCAGTCCTGCCTCAGCCTCACTCAGAGTCACTGTGAGCAGAATTGACTGGCCCCAACAACCATAGAGATGACAGCCTTAGAAACCCCATGGGCCAGGCTAGGGGCGCTGTGAGTTGAAATTGACTCCAGGGCAGTGGGTGTGGTTTGGGCTTTGCTTCAGTGAAGATTGACAGCCTTGGAGACCCTGTGGGGCAGTTCCACTCTGTCCTCTAGGGGCGCTGTGAGTCAGAATGGACTCCACGGCAGTGGGTGTGGTTTGGGCTTTGCTCCCATAGACTGACAGCCTTGGAGACCCTGTGGGGAAGTTCCACTCTGTCCTCTAGGGGCGCTGCGGGTCAGAATCGACTCCTCCAGGGCAGTGGGTTTACCAGTGTATCTCATCCCATTTAGGAATAGCATCTTTTGTTATGTTAATGACGCCATTACCGATGTTGGGTGTGCCTTTCGAGATATAAAAAGGAGATCAGACGCAGAGACAGGAGCCTGATAGCAACACAGTAAAGAGCACAGCTACTAAACAAAAGGTTGGCGGTTTGAACCCACTGGTGGCTCGATGGAAGAAAAGACCTGGTGATCGGCTCCCATACAGTTGACAACTTGGGAAACCCTTTGGGGCAGTTCTACTCTGCCCTATAGGGTTGGCAATGACTCAACGGCACCCCACAACAATAAAACACAGAGAGGAGCAAGATGACTTGGGGAAGGGCAGATGGCACACTGATCCGTAAGGAATGTTGAGGAGACGGCCAGAGAGATGGGAGCCCTCCCCTGGGGCCGGCGCCCTGAACCTGGATTTCTAGGCTTCTGAACTGTCCGAGAATACACTTCTGTTTGTTAAAGCCACCCACTTTTGGTATTTGTTACAGCAGCAGTGCAGAACCGAGACAGGTTAGTAACCAAGAGATAAAACCACTCAGGGTATTGAACTCTGGGTGGAAGAGTTGGGACTTTGTCCCAGAGGCATGTGGGAGCCATGGGAGGTCTATGAGCAGGAGAGGGGCAGGGCCAGTTCTGGGGCCGTGAGGCAGAGCTGACTGAAGGGGAGAGACTGGGGGCTGGAGTGAGGGTCCAGGAGGCTGAGGAGGAAGGGAGAGTGTCACCAGGGCTGAAGGAGCAGAGAGAGAGAAGGTGATGAGGCAGAGAGAGTCAGGGGGCAAGTGGTGGATGGGGTCGGGGTAGGCTCCTTTTCTTGTCTCCAGTCTCCTCTCCAAGGATTTCTACATCCCAGTTCCTCTGCTGGGCAGGGCTGGGGACCCAAAGGTCTGACTTGGGGTAATGCATCTCCAGCGTGCCCGTGAGGTGCATGCTAAGTAGGGGAAGCAGACACCTCGGGCACCGAGAGAGGAGTGGCATTAGGCAGAGCCCCCCAGGCTGAGAGGGGCTCCCGGGGTCCCCCACCTGACGCTGGCTCTCCAGGTCTGCCTTGTTCCCGACCAACACGATGGGGAAGTCGTCACGGTCCTTGACACGGAGAATCTGCGTGAAGAGCTTGCTCACCTCGTTGAAACTGGGGGTGCGAGGACACGCGCGAGGTTAGGAGCCAAGAGTTTAACGGTTTGTGCCACTCAGGGACAAAACCCAAACCGAAATCTCTCGTTCTTGAGTCACTTCCAACGCATAGCGACCTTACAGGACACAGTAGAAATGGCCCATAGAGTTTCCAAGGCTGTCAATCTTTACAGAAGCAGGCACATCTTTTTCACGCAGAGAGGCTGGTGGGTTCGAACCGCCAACCCTTCAGTTAGTAGCTGAGTGCTTAATCACTCTGCTGCCAGGGCTCCCTTCCCAGGAACCAAAAAAAAAAAAAACAAAAAAAAAAGGATAAAACCATGCAGGGAATATAGTGCTAGGTCATGGAGGTCTGTGAGCAGGAAAGGGGCAGGGTCACCTGTGGGGCCAGGAGGGAGGGTTGACTGCAGAGGAGTCCTGGTCCCCGCTCCCTGCTGTCGCCCACCAGCCTCACCTCTGCCGATCATTGATGGCGAACACCAGCAGGAAGCCGTGGCCGGCACGCATGTACTGTTCCCGCATGGCACCGAACTCCTCCTGGCCCGCGGTGTCCAGGACTGTGGGGACAGGGCCACGGTAGGACAAAGCTCTCCCCGGCCCCCCAGCCCTCCCCGCTGCCATCCTCACTGTCCAGCCGGGCGGGGGTGCCGTGGGCCGAGGCGCCCCCCGCCCCCCCACCCCGCCGTCCTCACTGTCCAGCCGGGCGGGGACGCCGTCCACTGTGCAGATCTTGGTGTAGGAGTCCTCAATGGTGGGGTCATAGTCGGACACGAAGTAGGACTGCGGGGGAGGCATCGTTAGCACAGTGGCCCACAGGGGGGAGGGGACTCGCCCTGCCCCAGGCTGGCCTCCCCAGGCACCCCCTTCTGGGTCTCTGTCCCCCCCTTTTCTGGGTCCTCCCTCTCTCCATACCCTTTTCTTTCTCTCTAGGACTCTGTCCCTCCCTGTCTGGGTTTCTGTCCTTTCTGTCTGGGTCTCTGTCCCTCTCTCTCTGGGTCTCTGTCCCCCCCCTCTGGGTCTCTGTCCCCCCCTCTCTGGGTCTCTGTCCCCC